TTTCCGGAACCCCGAGGACTCATTCTTAGAGAAACTCTTCTTGAATTTCCCCTTGCTATATGTTCCCCTCGGTTTGGCCCCTTTGTGAAACGTGGATCCCGACCCCGTCGTGTTCCCCTTTCACAGGTTATCGTTGAAATGCACCTTGATGGCCGCATCCAACGCTTCCTTGTAGTTGGTCGGGTTCCAGCGCATCACCTCACCGCGAGCCCAGGTTTGCAAACCTGATATAAAGGCATGGAACGCATCCATATCCCCCATGTCCGTGACAAGTATCCTCTTTGCCATGAACCCATTCACATATTCCTGGATGGTTCCAGTCTGCTTCAGCCTACTCAACTCATCTCTCAGATGCAGAGTGGCATTCGGAGGAACGTATGTCACGCGGATCCTCGCCTTCATCATGTCCCAGGTGGCCACCGGTCCTTCGTTGGCCTCCGTTGTTCTCCACCAAGACTTGGCATTATCTGCCAAGTATGGTTTTGCACATGGGACCTTCTCCGAGCTCAGTAACCGCAACGCTCGGAAGTAGTCCTCCATATCGTAAAACCAATCCTCCACAACCTTATAGTCGTTCACTCCCTTGAACACCGGTGGGGGCTTTGGTTTGTACTTGGGAACTGCCTGAGGGACTGATTCCACTTCGGTCTGTTCGACCTTGTCTGGTTTTGCCTCAGTCCCTGCCGAAGGGTCCGCACCTTCTGCGCTGCCAGCATCCGCAGTCTTTCGCTTTTTCTTCCGCTTCTCGTCACGCTTTAACTTGCGTACGAGAGTCTCCAGCAGGGCATTGGTCTGTGCCAACTGTCCTTCTAGCACGTCCAATCGAGCCTTGGACGACCGAACCTCGCCACCGGACTCCTGTTTGGAAGTTTCCTCACTGGAGTCCTCCTCATGCAAGGATTCCTCATCCATAGCCTCTTGTTCAACCGGAGGCTCCAGCTCCGGCGGAGGTTCCGTCTCCGCCTGGGTTCGCTTACGCCCTGCCCTTGCCATCTCCCAGCAATCCGCCTCTATCCTTCGCTAGAACTGAGATAAAGGCTCCGATACCAAATTGTAAGCCACAAATTTTTCCTTTCCAATTTGCCAGCTTACCTCGTCTATCCGTCTAACACTGCCTTGGCTTTTGCTAAGTTCCCTTGCCAAGGTTCTCGCCTATGGTACCAGCTCCTACTTGGTTTCAGCTACTCACTGCACGAGCAACGGAGTGTTAGCCATCCTTCTACGGATTCCCAAATCACTCTCAATCCCCCTCCCCGGGTTAGACTGAACTTAAGGTTCGGCTACACTCCCCGCAAGCACAAGCAGCCAAGCACACCAAGCTTCCAGGTTCCTAACATCCCTTGGTACCACAAGACTTGATCATGGGACCCTCTAAATCCCAAGTCTTGAGTGCAACACTTGCTTCGGGACGCCGGGGCGAAACAACGTGGCCTAACGGCCCGGTATGGGTACCTCTCGCCCCCCACTTCCATCCCGAAGGAAGGCCCAAGCCCCTAGGCAGGGCGAGGACCAATGAGCCGCATGGTACTCAAGTGGGGCACCACTCCACATGAGCCGGGAGCACCGCAATCGGTTTCCCTTTCGGGAGTGGGAGCTGCTCTTGAGCACTTCCTTGGATGGCCCCTCCGGCACCAGCCAAGTCCATGCTCACTCCCACCCAAGGCCCCTTAGTCCCAGTCCCAACCTCAAGTCGGTTTGGAAGCCCAACTGGAGAGTCCCTTCAAAACTGGTTCCTGGACCTCACTATCCCTACTATACATTTGGAACCCCCTGCAGCCCCCCCCCCCCCTGGGGGAAGCACGCTTTGGGCTTTCACCCCTTGACCCGTATTAATATTTGGACTTAGTCTCTGGCTCGATCTCGGATCCGATTTCGGATCCGACTTCGGATTCCGTCTCGGACTCGATCGCGGACTCCATCTCGGACCCGATCTCGGGCCCGACCTCGGACTCGACTTCGGACTCGGTCTCGGACCCGATTTCGGATCTCGGACTCCGTCTCGAACTCGGTCTCGAACTCGGACTCGAACTCGGTCCCCGAGTCGGTCTTGGACTCGATTCCGGACTCTATCTCGAACTCGGTCCTAGAGTCGGTCTTGGACTCGATCTTTGACTTGGTCCCATCCGATGAACTCTTTGTCATTTTGGTCATGCTTTCGGGGTTCCCTTAGCCTACGACACCTCGGCGAGTTGGTTCCTTACAATAAACTTCTATATGGTCATGATCCAATATTACCAATAGAGCTGGGTTTACCTTCGCGATTGCCACGAGCTCCTGATGCTAAGTCATGGGATCAGTATTTGACAAGCATTCTTCCACTTGTCCGAGCAGAGTCTGCCGAACACTTAGGCCGCGTACAAGTGGGATAACAACGGCGCTACAACTCCCATCATCATCCACCTGCGGAGTACAAAGTGGATGATTTGGTGTTAGTCCGTTTTCCCCATCTTACGGTACGTGGTTTATCTAAGGGGCTCCTTGCGCAGTGGAAAGGACCGTATCGGGTGTTGCGGCAAGTTGGACCGCAAGTTTATGAGGTTCGGCATGACGTTCAGCAGGCCGATCCTCCGGAGATTGTGCATGTGCAGCGGTTAAAACGCTTCATACAAAGGGATCAGGAGCAGTTAATACCGTCTACAGATCCGCCGATGCCTCCTCCTGACGTTCCTCCAGATCCCGGCCCATCCACAAGAGAACCCTGACGGCCTTCCATTATTCCGAGAGGAGGGGATGATGTGAGGGCCAAGTGTACGGCTACGATGCCGTATACTAATATTAGCGTAGTGGATTTTGGTAGCCGTCGGATTGGTTTCAATCCGGACCACTCGCTCTTGTATATAAACTAGGGTTTTTGGGCTAATTGATATGCACATTTCTGTATTCCCTTTCCATATTCCAGGCACTCGCAATGATATTTTAAGTTCAATAGTTTCAGTGCATTATCATTACATCCTGATAAACCTTTTGGATATGTTAATATAGGATATGTTTCATTAGGGTTCTTTTTAGCACATTAAACCATAAAGACATGCATGATATTTTATAAATCATAACATTTGTCTAAATGCATAAAGTTTACTTAAAAATAAAAATTTGGGAACGTGGTCTGGTATAAGAAATTTATAACCCTCAGAAGTAATAGATATTCTAATAGCTAGCATTTACACTTTCTTGAATATAATATCGATTTGTTCCATGTGTAATTGGTATATTAGTTCTATACTAAATTTTTTATTTTTTCTATCATCATATGTAAATGTCAACTAGCAAAATGAGCTGGTAATCCTTTCCATATTGTTTCAGGTGGATTTATAACTATACAAAATGTAGCAAAGTAAAGTACAATTAGAAATTTGAATGTTATCTATCTTATTTAACAATTTTTATAAGGTCACTAATAATTATACGCTTTCCACATGGCAATTAACTTGGTTGGTCCAAAATAATAATTAAAATTTTAGTATTTGAGAAGTTGTATTTATATTCATATAATTCTTGCTATATTGTGTATGTAATTTTTTTTATAAAATGGAAAATTTAAAAATTTAAAAATTTGAATACACATTGCATGCAATAACTCCTGGTTTGCTAATAGTAGTATCATTCATGTTTAGTATTATTGAATAATCCAATTGATCAATAATTATAAACATGTTTATACTGTGGTGGGAGATGCATACTCAAGAACGGCCAAGAGAGGCCTCGACAAGTCCCTGGCATTTTGAATCGCTGTGAGCAGCCCATCCATCCAGTCCTGATCAGCATTCCACAAGAATCCAAGCAGATTGTATGCAAAGTGTTTAAGAGGATTGTCCCAGGTGATGGTGAAAAGTTTAATTTATAAACCAAGATTGCACACCAACCATTAGAATAAATAAGAATATACTAGGAATTGTATAAGAAAGTTTATATATTATAAACATATTTTTAAATTATAAATACAAATTAATCTGTATAAATAACAACTGTTAGATGGTAGAACATTTAAGACTATCCAAATATATTCTAAGCCAAGTAAGAGAATACAATATAACATACAATATTTATTTAATTCTACTTACCATATAGCTTAAAAGTTTTAGCTTGACAATTGTTAAATAACTTTAAACTCAAAGCTTAAATTCGTTATCTTAGGAAATACTACTAGAGAAATCTCAATGGAGGCCTTTCTTTCTCAGAAGCTCATCTCGGAGATTTCTGGCCGAGGCAGTCCCGTGCGTGGGCACCGCAAGAGAAAGAGGAGGCAATCCAAGAGGCGCTCATCGGATCATTTTATCTCAAGATGGTGCTGCTGCTGCTCCTCCACGAATTTGGGAGGGATGATCTGCCACGGCTACGTCCGGATGATGCAGGGCCTTCTCAATGTCAAGGGGAATTTGGGATTTCTAGTCATGGGCCAGCATCACGCCGCATCGCTCAGCAATGTTCTTGTTCTTCCGCTGCGATGCCCCGATGCAATTCCGCCCAGGGCGATATCGAAGAAATCCTAGATCGATCGCGTTTACGCTCGCGTGAATCGATGGGAAAGATGCGTGTTCTTTGGATGTTTTGGTTTGGAAATTGAGAAACTATGTCTTCTCCGTCCATTCGCTGTTTTCATTGATCCCTCGATCGAGGAGGCAAATCTTTCGCTTCCAAATCCGATCATCAATCGATCAGCATGCGTTGTAGATCGATCACGCACTACAACGCTGACCCGATCTTTGGGGAAGAAACCCCTTTCACTGTTCATATTATTAAGACATTCCTTCAGATCGATCCAATAGCCTGCCTGCATTGATGATCAAATCCAAAGATCCACCCACTGTAGGGTCGGTGCTGTGACCTGGTAGCAAGATGATGACGAAATTGGAGTAGAATTGCCGTGATTTTGACGCGGTCTCGGGAAGAACACATGATGATTTCTTCCACTCGCTGGAATCGAGTGAGATTGAAACTTTGCTGACTCGGATTCCCGCGTCCAGGTGTGTGCCACGTCTTACAAGTATTTTAGTAATCTAATACGATTCGAGCCCTAGACTCGCGCGAGGTGAGAAAGCCCTAGTGCTCGGGAGGAGGAGCTGCGCGCCGGGTGTGCGATCATGGTAAGCGCTAGCGTGGATTTGTTGAGCTGCATTTCTAGCATGTAGCAAGAGATCAGGACTGGTCTTGGCAGATTTCTTGCGGTTTCTTGCGTTTTGGCAGGATTTCTTGTGATTTCTTGTGTGAATGGGGAGTTTCTTAGGATGCGTGGAAGATAGGTCTTCATGACAGATATTTGGTCGTTCCACGTTATTTTTTCTGCGAAGTCGTGCCACATTCTAGTGTGATCTCTAAGAATTCTTTTTCTTTATAGGATGGAGCGAAGAAAGAACCTTATGACACTGGGGATGCTGCGCAAAGCACTGCAGATCTGACCGCCTTTGTAAGCTTGATTTTTTCCTTGTTCTTTTGTTTTTCCTTCTTTCACTCTTTCATTCTTTTTCTCTTTTACTCTTTCCTCTTTCACTTGTTTTTCAGGTGCAGAATCTTCTTCAGCAGATGGTAAGCCCATCTTCGCATTTTTTTACTTGAAACCAACTTCTAGTTTTCTGTGATATAGCAAGCAAGGTTCCAGACGATGTCCGATTCGATCATCACAAAAAATATCCTACTTTGGACGCTATTGTTTTCTTCATTGTTTCTTTCTCGCAGCATTGATCCTCCTTAACGACTGAATACTCGACGAGATGGGAAATCGCATTGACGACCTGGAGAAAAGTATAGGCGAGCTCGTCAAGGAGGTGGGAGCTGACACTCCCGCCTCAGGCAGCTCCAAGCCCAAGGCTCTACAGAGCGAGGCCTCGGAGCAATAGAGTTTCTGGTATTCTTTTTGTAAATGGCTACACGGCTAGCCAGTACCTACTTTGTTCTTAAGGTAAACGCATTTCGTGTGAAGTTCCTATGCCTCGTTGCGTTTGCCTTCCTTCTAACGCACACAGGCCTGCGAGTTTTTTTTTTTTTACCGTCGGCCCGTGTGTTCTTTGTTCCGGGTTCTGGTGCACCAAGATGGCCGACCATGGACTCGAAAAAGAATAGCAAGAAAGAAGAAAAGTGGCTTAAGATACGATTCCCCGAGCTGGTTTCGTTCCGCATACGTGACCGACCGAAACGTTTACCAGATTGATGAGGAGAATCATATTCTTTCCTGGCAAGGATTTAGACGAAGTGCCGCTGGTGCCTGCCGCATCCATGCACAGAAAGTTTGTGATGAAACGGGGGAGAAGGATGAAAACTCAAGCTCTCCAGCTTCTCTAGGCCAGTTTGAGAACTAGAAGTCACGGCTCCTCAGAGAAAACTCGAGGGCACTTGGTGCAACGATTTACGCAGTAATTTACGCAGTCCGAGATGAGACAGTGACACAGGCTGAGATTCTAAGGGACAGTGACGCTGCAGGATTAGCAGTCCGGGTATCTCTGCTAAAGCTTTCCTTTTACCGGTTGGCTTAAGTTTGGCAGCACGACAATACTGTTCTTGGTGGCTGAAAGGGTGGTGTGAATATAAATGGCTGGCACAAGGAAGCGGCTACTGGGCTTTGAATGCACCAGGAACGTTGAGGAAGAGAAAAGGGATACAAATAACAAATGCGAGGGAGAGATTTAGACTGCAAGCACAAGCAAAGTGTGAGGGGGAGATGTGGGATGCACACTAGTCCAAGGCTGCTGCAAAGCAAAAACCAAAAGAGGGGAGCACTCTGAGCAGTGGCACGGAAAAATGGAAGTCGGGATTACTTGGTTGCTTAGCTCGAGAAAAGCAGGGCCGGGTTTCTTGTCATGAGCAGCTTTTTTTTTCCCTCCTCGGCCAACTTTTGAAGAGGCTCTTTTCGACTTGAAAATGGCGGCTTTCTTCTACTTCGTCGTCGTCGTCGTCGGCGTTGCTTGCTTCTTCCAGGCATCGGTGGTGGTTTCCGGCGATCGATTCTGTGGCCAAGGCGGCGATCAAGTCAGTTATGTGCGTGCTCGAGGCTCGGAGTTCGTGCTTGATGATCGTCCGTTGTTTATCAATGGCTTCAACGCCTACTGGGTAACGTATTACTCGTTCGAGCTCGTCACACGGCCCCACGTTAGTAGCTTGTTTCGTGACGCATCGGCGCTGGGTCTCAACGTTGCGAGAGTCTGGGCCTTCAATGACGGTGGCTATCACGCTATCCAGGCCACTCCTGGCGCCTACAATGAGGAAGCTTTCCAGGTACTAAAACTTGAGAGAAGAACTTTTCTTGTTTCTTCTTGTGAGTTTCTGATTGTTCTACATTCGCAGGGACTTGACTTTGTCATTGCGGAGGCACAAAGCTATGGTCTGATGCTGATACTCAGCTTGAGCAACAACTACAACTCCTATGGAGGAAAGCCGCAGTATGCGCAATGGGCTCAGGAGGCCGGTCACAGCGTGGAATCGGAGGACGATTTCTTCAAACATTCTGTCATCAAAGGCTACTACAAGAATTATGTGAAGGTGAGAATTCGGTTTCGCTCTTTCCCTCTTTTTTTAAAACTTTAGCGTGCAACGGGAATCTCGTTTCTCCTCTTGTCGTGTTCTTTTCGTGAGCATTTTTCTGACCAAAGTTCTGTTTTTTATTTTTTTGTTTTCGTTTTTCCAGGCCGTGCTTACAAGAGTGAACACCATCACTGGAGTCGCGTACCGAGATGATCCGACGATTTTTGCCTGGGAGCTGATTAATGAACCGAGATGTAGCTCCGATCCCTCTGGTGACACCCTCCAGGTTAGCATTCATTCATTTTTCTATCAAGTATTTCATTCGGTCGCTTCGTTTCTCCAATTCACGAACTTGTTCCTATCCAGGCTTGGATCGAGGAGATGTCGGCATTTGTAAAATCTCTCGACAGCAACCATATGCTCGAGGTTGGTCTCGAAGGCTTCTACTGCTCCTCGGATCTACAGAGAGCGGGTCTCGGCAGCTGGTCGAGTGATCTCGGCACTGATTTCATTCGCAACAACGCGATTCCAAGCATTGACTTTGCGACCGTGCACAGCTATCCCGACTTGTGGTAAGCAAATTCTTTCTGCAAAATCCAATTTTTTTCGTTAAAATAAAGCGTGTTCAAGCTTCTAAAGCTTCTTTCTTCTTCTCAGGCTCCCAGACGAGGACTTCGAGGTTCAGCTCTCTTTCCTCGTCCAGTGGATACAGAACCACATCGAGGACGCGGCCGTGAGGCTGAACAAGCCCGTGCTCTTCGCGGAATTCGGCAAATCAAACCGGACTCGCGGGTTCGTGGTAGAGCAGAGGGACAGGTTCTTCGCGGCCACGTACGAGACGATCTTCTCGTCGTTTCCGGCCGCTGCCGCGGGTGGACTGCTGTGGCAGCTGGTCACGGAGGAGATTGGAGACGCCATCGACGACGGCTACCAAATCGTCCCCAGCAGGAATCCCAGCACAGTGACTGTCATCTCCACGCAGTCGCAGAGAGTTTCCATCATGAACTCGAGACGCTCGTGAGTTTTAGAAGTTCGTTCTTTTTGGCATTGCAGGGAAGCACTGAAGTACCGCAGCTTTATAAAAGAGGAAGATAGGAGAGATTTTTAGTCAAGAGTGTCGCGTTCGTGCCACATCAGCACCACGTCAGAGCCACGATTATGCTGACGGGGCCCAATCTAGATGACGTGTAAAGCATTCCTTGCTAATAAAAGTAAAGGGGGTAAAGAAAGACGCTATAATGTTTTTAGTTAGGTGCTAGGGAAGAACAAGGCAGTGGGTGCGCCATTGCGATCCTTCGCGTAGAGCGCGCATGGCGCTAGCAGCTTTCTAGGGTTCATCCAGATCGATTGCATTGCGGTCGGGAAAATGCTGGATCTGTGACCCCAGATCCGTCCTGTCGGGCGCTTGCCGGTGCGGGATCTCTTGGATTTCTGTGAGTGTTTCGCGGTTTTGCTTGCTTCTTTTGTAGTGAATTGATTGATTTCTGGCAGGCAGGGATCCGGTGGAGAAATGTCCGTTGCGGACGAGCATTGCTAGCTGCCGCCACAAGCAAGGTATCGTTTTTTGATAGAGAAGAAAGATCTGGAGTGAGAGATTTTTATCCAGGATAGCGACCATGCAGCGCCAATTGGTTTGCTTGTTGGTGGTGGGAATTGCCGGGTTTATCGTCGCTAGCGTGGAGAATTTACAGGATGTTGGATTTGATGATCAGCTTTCACGCCTCGGCGAGCTTGAGCAGGGCAATGGATTGCGGAAATTGCTGCAAGAGAAGCCGAAAGCCAAGACAAAGTCGGGAGACGGGCTTTCAGGAAAAGCTAAAAGAAGCGGTGCTGGGGAGAAGAAATCCAAGGCAGAGAGCGGTGATGGAAATCACGTCGAAGAAAAGAAAGTCCCCGCGGTTAATGACGCGATTCAGGGTGGAAAGTTGGAGGGGTCTGAGCTAAAACCAGCTGCAAAGAAGCCAGGGAAAACGAAAAAGAAAATTCTGGAGGACGAGGACGATGAAGATATCCGGTTTATGGAAGAGGAGAAGCTCCAGAGCGTTGTGAAACAAGGTGGTAAGAAAGAACAAGGTGCTAAAGTGGATGGCGGCGAAGATGTGAAAGAAGATGGCCAAGGCGAAGTTTTCAAAGTGGAGGACGAAGAACGGACTGACGCCAAGACGAAGGTGAAAAAGGGGAAGTCCAAGAAAGCTGGAGCGAAGAAGGAAAACGTAGACGTTGTTTTGGGCGACTCTGAGAATGTTGCCGGGGACGAGAAAGTAAGTGTAGCAGTCGAAGACGACAACGTCGCTGAACAGAAGAGCGTCGAGGAAGAGAAGAAGCAGAAGAAAAGAAACAAGAAGGCACCTGAGGTAAAAGTGGAAGCTCTGGATGACACGGATGAATCTTCCGACAGTGCGGATGCGGATGAGAAGAAAGGAGTGGAAGTCGAAGTCATTCCTGACGAATTGGACGACGTCAAGGTACTGGAGGAGGAAATCCCGAAGAAGGAAGTAAAGAAGGAAATCCCGAAGAAAACCGAGAAGAAGGATCAAGTCCTTGCTGAAACACAGGAGGAGGAGCAGAACAGCAAGCCTCCTACGAAGATCAGCAAGAAAGAAAAGGAGATGCCAAAGACCAAGCCAAAGACCGCCAAGGAAAAGCCAAAGCTAGACAAGTCCAGTCCCACGAAGGCAAAGAAGAATAGCGGCGAGTCCACGAAGAAGAGCACAGAAGTGAAGAAGAAGGAGGAAGTGACGAAGGACGAGAAGCTGGAAGTGCCAAAGACAACAACGACGACGACGACGACGACGACGGTAGTAAACTTTCCAGAGGAAGACTTGCATACCGACGCTTTCGACTTCCAGGACGAGTTGCCGGACGAGGAGGACATCGACTTGCTCTCGCAAATCTCCGAACTCCCGACGAAGATCCAGCAGACTGCCGGCAACGTCGCGGACACTCTCCGCCCCAGCTTGTCCAAGCTCTCCGAGACGTCCAAGACGTACTTCTCCCAGGCCAACCAGCAGATGACCGAGAGCTTCACTCCGATCATGGGCCACCAAGCGGCACCGGTGGTGGCCTCCCTCATCTCCTACGCGTTCTTGCTCGCTCCTCTCATCGTGGTGATCTACATGCTCGAGCGCATCCGTGCCACTCTCTCGCTCGCCAAAGTTCTCTTCTTCGTCAACCTCTACCTGGGAGCCTACTTCCTCACGCTGGTGCTCGCGACTTTCGCCCTCCAGAGCGAGCCCATGGCCTTCTTCTTCCGGCACTCGCGCTCCAGCTGCGTCTTCCTCCAGCTCCTCCAGGCGCTCGGCTACATGCTCTACCTCTTGCTCTACACCGTGGCGATCATGAAGTCCTTCTCCTACGGCGGGGTCTTGGAGAGGATGACCGCGGTGTTCCAGTGGGTGATCGTGGCGCTGTTCGGCCTCCATTACTACGTGACCGTGTTCCATCGAGCCATGGCCATGAAGGTCCCTCGGACGACGTGGAAGGTCTATCTGGTATACACGGCAGCGTTTTCGGTGCTGGCTCTCTTTGCCAGAGCTAAGATCGAGCCGATCAAGAAGGAGTACTACTACACGCCGGTAGACGATTCCGAGGAGGCTAGTCCCATTGACAAGAGGAGCTAAGCAAGCGAAAGAGGTAAAAAACCATCTTTTCTCAAGACAATGGGTGGACTAAACTTTGTTATCTCTTGGTCTTTGCAGTTTTAGATGAATAAGAAGAGATAAGAGATGCGTAACGTAATGTTAATACACGAGAATTTGAAGTGAAGCTCCTCCACTCCATCAGTGCTAAGTTTTGCGTGTTTGCATTTTCTAGCTGCCAGGCTATTTATCTATCAGATGGAACTTAACTTTGCTTTGACTCTAGCAGAGATCGTGCTTTGCGGATGAATCTAAATGGCTTTCCGGGATTTGCAGTGAGAGCTCTCTCGCAAGCGTGACTGTCCAGCTCCTTGAGAAAGGCGAGAGAGACTTAACGAGAGAAGCAAAGCTGGCCAAACCGAAAGGGACTGCTTAAAGTCTCACTGGCCGGTGGACGAGGAGCCACAAGTTCCTGCAAACTAGAGGACGGACACTAATAGCAAACTTCCAAACAAGCCATTCAATCGCAAAACAAAGACGTGAAAACGAAACGAAACAAAGAAGCAAACACTCTCAAAGTTTAGACAAAGAGAACAACGTTATCACACAAATCCGTGACTACTGTCAATCCATCCAAACTTCCAAAAGCCTGCTATGCATGGCTCGAGGAGTGATTGCTGCTCTGAAAGACGAATCCCCGGATGGATGAATCGATCACTCTCTCCTCCCGCCAAGGTGGTGATGGTGGTGGTGGAGGTGGTGATGGAAATGCTCGTGCCTGTGATGGTAGAGCTCATCTCCATCGCCCTCCTCGTCCTGGAACTTGAGAAGATGACCATCGCCATCGTCCACTCGACCCTCCACCACCGGAGACGGATTAAACGTGAGGAGCTGCGAGAACTTGGAGCTGATCGCGTTGTTGTTGTCGCTCTTGTCACTGCTGATGCTGCTGCTGCTGACGAGATTGCTGCTAGTGCTGCTCAGGCTGCTGCTGGCCGACTTGGATTTCTTGAAAGTCCGCTTGGTGGCGATGTCGTCCTCGGAGAGGCAGAGCACCGGGGCCGGGATGAATCGGCTCAGCCTCGCCGCCAGAGCTTCCCTGTACTTCCTTCCTCCGCCACCGCCGCTACCGCCGCTCTTGGAAGTCTGCGAGGAGCAGCTGAGCGAGACGAGGTTCCTGTTGGTGGTGATGGACGCGGCGGAGGCCTCCTTGAGCGCCTTGTCCAGCTCCTTGGCCACCGAGAGGAGCTCGAACGAGTCGAAGAGCGACTGGTTTGGATCCCACTTCTGGTGCGCCTTGACAATGGTGTCCCCCGCCGTGTAGCTGCCGTTCACTCGCAGAGCCTCGGCTTTGAAGCGGGACGTTCGCTGCACCACCACCATGGCTCTGTTCCTCACGTCCTCCGGGCTGCCATTGCTGTAGTTGCCTCCACCGCGCTGGTACCATGCCCAGGCAGCTGCCTTGCTTCGCGGACTGATCTTCTCGTCGTCGATGTTGGTGTTGTTGCCGCTGCTGCTGCTGCTGCTGTTTGAATTCTCGTCCTGTGATGCCTGCTTGAAAATGTGATCCGTTTCTTGCCTGGCTTTCGCTAGCGCGGCTCCAAAGTCCGTCACGGGCTTCTTCTTCGCGGAGGACTTCTTCTTCCTCAATCCCATCGCGAGATGGATTCAATTCCCACCTGTCAAGGCTTGCAACGAGATCTCTCAGTACACCGCGAAACCTCTTACCGTGGAGAGAGGAGAGAGGCGCAGATTTTCTAGCGTATAATATGTGGAGCAACTATCTCCGTAGCGGATGTGGCTGCTGATTAATCCAGAAAAGGAAAAACGGAAGAGTCACGAAAATTGGAAAGGAAAGACCCACCAAACCATGGACGCAGTCGGGTACCAGACATGGTCGCTTTGATTTTACGAGCGCGGCCCACTTTATTTGCATGGCTCCGTCCGAATCCGACAAAATTCTCGCGTTCCTTTGAAAGGCTAAGTTGCTCCAAACAACAAGCTCCTCGGCTCGCAACAAGATGACAAGCAGTTGCGTCCACGGAAGCCTGCGAGAGAGAGAGAGCATGCGTGAAATCAGAGAAAAGCTGGCTTTTGCAGCGCTCGTAAAAAGAGAAAAATCTTTGAATCCTTCACATTTTTACCTGTCTGAATTGCCTCGCATCGCATGGTCCGCGTTGTCACGTGCCAGAGTGTTGTAAACATCGTCACCAGACAAATTTAAAAATCTCTGCAAATTTAATGCTCGGGCCGCTGCGTAGCAAGAAAAATTTAAGAGCACTGATGAATGAGGATGATAACCAAACTAAGTATGGTATGACAGTACTCGAACTTACAGCAGTAGTACCATGCGGAGCGCGTAAGATATTTTTCGTACGTCGTTCGTTGGTTTCGATCGAGCGATCTCCAGCATTTGGAATCTGCAGCAGCATCACTGCCCTTCATTTAGTAGAAAGAAAAGAACAAAGGTAAAATTCTAAGGCTTCTGTGAGAACACATCACCTGTGTTTCACTTCACGAGCTTTCATCGAAGTCCAGGAAGATTCGAGTTTGGTGAAGCGATATTGAAGAAGGGCCAAAGTCTAGTCTCCTCTCCTGCAGCCACAACAACTTATGATTGGTTATAAAATACAAAGTCAGTATCTCACCACGTCTGCTCACCACGAGAAGCCGATGATGATCAGCTAAGGACAGCGTGCCTCGTTAGCTTGAGCGCTCCAGCAAAGATTGGCCATCAGATTGTAAGCCGCGTCGATTTTCTCGTTGTTTCCAAGCTGAAGCACAGCATCAAACGCGACCCTCCCTATGGCCAAGTTCCTCCACTTCCAGCACGAAGTGAGAAGGGTCATCCAGATCACGGCGTCCACTCTGGTCGGAATGGACTTCACCACCTCCAGTGCAGCGGTTAGCTTGTTGGCCCGTCCGAGCATGTCAACCACGCAAGTGTAATGCTCTACGTCTGGAGGAATACCAAATGTGTGTTCCATAGACTGGAAAAACTCTCGCCCCCTTTCAACCAGACCAGCGTGACTACAGCCCGTGAGCACGCAGTTCAAGGTGATGCCATCGGCTTTGAAGCTTTCGTCCTGCATTATCTGAAAGACCTTGAAGACCTGTTTAACATCGCCTTGCCGGCCAAAACCAACCAAAAGCGCGTTCCAAGCTCCCACCTGTAAGTCCTCAGTCGGTATAAGATCGAAGGCCTGCTGAGCTTCAATCATGCTCCCACATTTTCCGTAGACGTCCACCAGAGAGTTTAGGAGAATTTCCCCGTTCCTGTCCAGTCCGTGTTGCCTGACGATATCGCCGTGAACTGCTTTAGCTGCTTTCGCGTCAGCGAGAGCCGCACATGCTTTGAGTGCCGTGACGAATGTTGACGCATCTGGTTGGCAGCCCGTATGCCCCATCACCGACGAATAAAAATGCAGAGCTAGCTCAGCTTCACCGTTGTCAACATACCCCAGCATCAAAACGTTCCATAAAACTGTGTCGGGCTTGCGAATCTTGTCGAAAACGCTGCGAGCATCGGCCAGACTGCCACAAGTCGCGTACATGTTCACAAGGCTGCTGGCTACGAAACTGTCGACGTCACAAAGGCTTGCCGATGCTTCGGCGTGTATCTGAAAGCCCCTGTTTAGAGCCTCGGACTTGACAAGCTTTCTGCGACCCTCGACTTTCTGGCCCGTTTCTTGTGTTGCCAGTCCTGTACAGGCCTTAACAGCAGCAACAATAGTGCGAGCATTCGGCTGGCCACCATGATCTTTCATCTGCTCAAATAACTCCAGGCCCAGCTGTTCTTCCCCAGCCTCTACGTAACCGAGTATCAACGCAGTCCATGAAACAACACCACGATATAGCATTCTGTCGAACACACCACGAGCATCCCACATGCTTCCACATTTTGCGTAAGCATCTACCAGAGTATTCTGGACGTAGATATCTGTGTCATACCCCCTGTTCCTCGCGCGAGAGTGTATGGCCATCACCTTTTCTAAACTTGAGATCTTCACAACCTGTCCTCCAACCGGGCTTCCTGTTTCCTTTCCTGTTAGACCAGCACACGCCTTGAGAGCAGCTACGTAAGTTCTCGAGTCCGGAGCAAAGCCTTCGGTTTCCATACGTGAGAAGAGCTCCAAAGCCAGATGGCCTTCACCGTTTTCCGCATAGCCAAGTAGCAGCGCGTTCCATGACACTGCTGTTTTTCTCTGCATCCTGTCAAAGACCCTGCTTGCATCCACAAGGCTGCCACACTTCGCGTACATGTCAATCAAAGTGCTTCCCAGCAAAAGATCCGAGTCCAAACCTGCTTTTGTAGCTTGCCAGTGAAGAGCTCTTCCTTTCTCCAAGTTCTTGAGCTTGAGAAGCTTCCCTTCGTCGTTGGCTGCCACACTGCTACAGGCCTTCAACGCAGCAGTGTAAGTTAGAGCATTCGGAGCACAGCCTCTCCGCTGCATTTCGGAGAACACCAGCAAAGCCAGGCTCCCTTCACCGCTTTGTACGTAGCCGAGGATCAACGAGTTCCACGAAACAACGCTGTGGCAAGGCATCAAGTCGAACACCCTGTGAGCATCCTCCAGGCTCCCACACTTCGCATACATGTCAACCAAAGAAGTCGAGATAAACACGTCTCCACAGCGCAAAACTCTAGAATGCACAGACATACCTCTCTTGAGCGACGTGGTCTTCTTCACCACCGAAGAAAAACTCTCGCCATCTTCCTTCTCGGCCAAGCAAGAACACGCCTTGATCGCGGCAACGAGAGTCCAGGCATCCGGCTCACAGTCCATGCACGACGAGAAGATCTCCAAGCCCAGCTCTGGATCACCATTCTCGACGTAGCCCATCAACAGGACGTTCCAAGAGACCACCGTGAGAGCTCCGATGGCGTCGAAAACACTCCTGGCATCCACCATGCTCCAGCACTTCGCGTACATATCCACCAGTGTGTTCTCCACGTAGATACCAGCCAAGAATCCTCTTCTCAGTGCCTCGGCGTGGAGAGCCTTCCCCTTTCTAAGATCCCTGGCGCTACTGCAAGCCCGGAGCTCGCAAATAAATCTCGACCTGGAGCTATTGCCACTGGAAATCCTCGCAATCGATGCTTCTTCTTCACTATTGCTCCAAATCTTTACGATTTCTTTATTCACAGATGCTTCTTCTTCCCGATTCTTCAATGGCGCCGCGATCGCGATCGATTCCTGGCTAGTTCCCGATCCTTTTGCCGCGATGGAGGAGCTGAGCGATCGAAATCCAGCGCTGGAGTGCCGCTTGGACCTACATTTGCTCCAGGGAACCATAAACCCTGGAGAATCCTTCTTGATTCCTGGATCCTTTCCTTCACTGCTTACCGATCTTTCTGCCTCGATCTATGCGCGACAGAGCGTCGATGGAAGGCCCAAGAGTGAGGAAATATTTTAGGGTTTATGCGAAGAGATGGCTGCATTGTCTAGCCCAGCGGCTTTTCGCGGGAGGCGGCTGGAATCCTCGTCCACAGCGCAGGCGCACAGCTCCAAGAAGGACCAGGTACGCGTTCCTCGCAAGCGCGGCTGCTCGAATGGAATCGCCGCAAAGAAAGACGGCAGCGAGAGATTTCCCTCGCGATCGGGCAAGCGCCCCAAGTGGGAGCTGTTCGGAGGCGCTGCAGCTGTTCTTGGCGGTAGCAGCATTGCGGCTTTCGGATTATCCAAGCTGGGATTCGGCTCTGGTTCCTCGGATTTTGGAAATCCCGAGATAGGAAGCGGAGGAAGTGGAGGAGCAAGGAATAGCGGTCGTGGCGGTGGTCGTGGCGGTGGCGGCGGTGGCAGTAGAGGGAACGAAGGCACTCTTCACAGGCCTGTGCTTGGCGAAAACAAAGAAGAAGATAGCAAAGAAGAACGAGGAAAGGGTCTCGTGGAAGAGGTTGCATCTTCGGTGATCGAGCAATTGTCTCGCAGCGACAATCTTGCGAAAGCTTCCGAGGTATGATCTTTCTTCCTTTTGTTCCTGGAACTCATCTTTTTTCTTTCTTTCCAGACTGGAGCACTCAAGAGACTCCAAAAGGAAGCATTCACGGATATCATGAAGCTGCGTGAAAAGCTTGAGAAGCTCGAGCTCGGCCTGTCTACGAGGGATTTTTCGAGTGGTCTTGAAAGAACAACGATCAAAGGCAGGGTGGCTGCGGGAGGAGCTTTCGTGCTCATGCAGGATTCAAGTAGCTACAACTCACGCTCGGCTTTGGAACAGTCTGGGCTCCCAGCCGGGCTCGAGGCAGAGTTTACCTTCCAGACGCCTTTTCGGGACGACAATGATCTACTGACGACGAAATGTGTGTCCGGGGATGGTGGCTTTGGTACTAATGGCCTTGGAGGACCAATTCGACTTGCGAAGATTTCTTACGCAACAAAAGTTACGGATGAGACGAAGTTTTCTTTAGTTCCTCTGGGTGCTCAAGCTACGGACATGACAGAAGTTGTGAATCCTCTCCAGGTAAAGCACAGACTTTCTTTGAGGCTAACATTTTATGGTTTTTGGTGTTCCAGGGCGAGGCAGTGACAAAGTTTACGAGCTCTGGTCCTTCTCTCTTCAGCCACTGCAAAGGCTCCGCAATCGGTGCAACTTACAGGAGCTCAAACACGCTCGCCTCTCTGTCAGAGTACATCTCCGGCTGGGGCGATTCGAACGGACTTCTCTGCCTGAGTACGCTCGCGCAGTTTATCCATCAGCCGACCGAGCAGCTAGCGCTCTCTCTCTCCGCGCTCAACCGCTTCTGGCCGAGTCCACCACTGCCGTCGGCAACTGGTTTACACTGGAGCGAGATGAAGCCTTTCGTCCTCTCAAAGTCCCTGCGCTCGTCGGGTGTAGATACAATGAGAACGTCAGGCTCAAGCTCCGTTTCTCAAGCGCTCAGCAACGGAGATAGGTGGAGTTTAGAGGCTCCGGCATACGAACCGAAAGGCACTGCGATGCAAGCGTTTGCTGTGTCGGGAGAGATGGACCTTGGCGGAGGTGCTTGTCTCGGGGGCTGGCTACAGATGGAAAGAGGCGACTGGTTACAGGATGACGATCAGAAAAAGCTGGTGTGGTCTCTAAGTCTGGCACAGGAGGCGTCAGTGGACAGTGTGGGCTGGGGAGTCAGTCTCGGACGATCGAGACGAGATTTCTGGAGCTCCCTCAAGGACGAGGAGTCGGATGTCACAGGAAGGCAGGCCGAGGTGTCGTCTACGCAGTTCCAAGTGGAAGCGTTTCTGAAGTATGACTTTGGACAAGGATTTACGCTCCAGCCCGGGTTGTTGTATGTCCTCAACAAGCAATGCCAGACACCGGCTTTGATGGTCAAGGGTGAGTGGAAGCTGTGACGAAGAACAAGGTTATTTTCTTTCTTTCTTTCTTTCTTTCGTTTTTTTCCTTTTGAGCGTCCCGGTCAAGGCCATCGTCGGAAAGACGAACAAGAGTTTACTTTTGCAAGCTCCACGAGGTACGTAGGAGCTTGAAGTTTTGTTTCTTTGGCATTTGACCTTTATATCTCTGGTGTCTCTGCAGTAAGTAATCAAGAGATCTCTTCCTATAGCTTGTGCGTAGTGAACTCTTGGCCGCGCTGCCTGAGGAGAAGTTTTTGAGACATGAATCGCAAGGTTTTGTCACTTTTTCTTCTTTTTTTTTGGTTCTAAATTCTGAGATTTCTAGATTCAGGTCTTGGAATGATGCTGTGTGGCCAAGCTCAGGTGCGAAGAAAGAAAAGAATTACTTATTTCGAGTTTGTCAATTGCCAACTTCTTTCTTTTTTTTCTTTCAGGCGCGTTTTTTGCTTCAAATTTTTGGAAAGACTCTCTTTTATAGAATAAAAAGAGCCAACTTTTGGAGATGGACTCTGGTTTTTAGGGCTCCTCGCGATGGCTGCTCCTGGGTCGTTGCTACTTTCCCGTCTCATGGGAAGGGAAAGCAACGACCAGACTGATGAAACAGATGCCCGCATTTTCATCTCTGGAACTTCTCTCAAGGTGTCTAATCCTCCTCTCAGCTCCGATGGTAAGATTTTCTACTCTTTTTGTTTCCTTTCCCGATTAAACCTGCATTGTTTTTATTTTGTTTGCAGGTTGTAGCGAGCTGTTGCAAGCAGTGGAAAACAGCCAAACTGTGATCACGGAGATCGATCTTTCCGGTATTTGTTCGTGTGATAGAAACTTTATCTTCTTCTCTTATTTTCCTCTTCTTTTACAAGGATGCAATATCAGCAAAGCAGATGAGCTAGCAGAACTTATCAGAAGCTGTGAACACCTCCAAAGGTTTGCATGTATGATTTAGATTCTATCTTTCTTTCAAATTTAATGTACGTATGTAGACTCCTGCTGGAAGGTAACAGCATCGGATTAGCTCGCACCGGGATATTATCTCTAACATCGGCTATTGCTCTCAGCTCCACTCTCACGGAGGTAATTCTTCTGCTTGTCGTTCCCCCTTATTATTTCTTGTCTTGTGTTTTTTTCATAAGCTGGATCTGCGAAACAACAGAATAGGGCCGTCTTTCGCTGCTGCTTTGGCAAATGCTATTCGTGGGACTCGTTCCCTCTGCTTCATAGGTACCTAATGTTTTTTTCTTTTGTGGATTTTTCCGCGCCAAGACTATATTACTTGCAGACCTTAGATGGAATTCTATCGGTCCCAGTGGTGCTGCAGCTTTTATCAACTTGCTTCAAAAGAATCCGAGTCTAGCTGGGATCCAACTTGCTGGCAACGGAATCCCTCAGAAACTTTTGTCAGAGATTGGTAAGTTCCTCAAAGAGATTGTTCGAGATTTGTTTTATTTGGTTGTTTAGATAAACTTGTTGAGGATAATCGTACCAACTGTGTGACACCTCATGTTCGAGCTCACGTACCACATCCCCTTGAGGTTAGCAATACCATTCATTTCACATTAAGCTTAAGCTATAATTGTTTAGGAGGAATTCAAGTGGGAGAACCGAGAAGGCATGCAAGCAATTTATTCGGGACGAATAGCTGCAATGGTGGAAGAGATAAACAACCTGAAATCTCATGTGGTGCGTGTTTTTATGTTCTCTAATTTTATGGAAATCGGCGGTCAAACTTGAGCACACAGGACTTGCTGAAAAAAGAAAAGGAAGATACAAAGCTGGAAGTCTTGGAAGCTGAAAACCACGTCAAGGTTCTTCACAGACTTTCTAGCTCAACTTGATATTCTAACAGATTCATTCCAGGCTCTTAAGCTTGAGCTTACAGAGGAAGCACTCTTGAGAAAGTACGCCGACAAGGAAGCGAATCAAGTGAAGGAAGAGTTATACGCTACACAACAAGTACGGGATCATAACCTCTTCTCCTTTGTTTGTTACTTGTTTGTAGTGATTCAGAAACTCGCTCATGCTGAGGAAAAGCTAGCAGAAGATGCTCGAGTTGCCAGTAGCACTGCAGAAGCGCACAATGTGAGTAGAATGATTTCTTTCTCGTTTTTTATTTATTTCTTTTGCTTCTTTTTCTTGTTATTGGTTAATCTGTTTACAGGCTGCTCTTGCAGAAGCTGGAAAAAGGGTGAAGGCTGCAGAAGAAAGATATGACGCAGTAGTATCAGAAAATATTTCTTTGAAAGATCAGGTTCATTTGTCCTATTCTGAAGTGAGTTTTGAAGCATTTTAACTTTTCGCAGATTGCATGCAACAAAAACGAGCACTTGATGCAGCTCCGGTCAGTTCAGGGTAAGCAATTGGTGGTGGGCAACTCTAACACTCTTGGACTTCTACAGAAAATGCTGCTACCGAACAGCACAACGCCATCTCTAATGTCAAGAGGCTCGACTTTGAGCACAGGGCGAGCGTCGAAGCACACGCAAAAGAGGTGTTTCTTTAAGCTATAAATTTATGGGAACCAAAACATTTCTATGGAAGGTTATGAGGATGCAAGCGGAATTTGAGGCAGAGATTAAACGCGTCAATGGAGAGAAGGAAGCTGCGCTACGAGTGGGTGTTTGAAATTTTTATAAAGTTCCAACTTTCGCTGCCTGTTCTTATTAACAGGAAGTTGATGCGTTGAAATCGATGACCTCGGCCCTTGAAATGCAATTTGCAGCAAAGGAGAAGGCCCTCCAACTGGAAAAGGTACCAAATTTTCCTCGCTTTCTTTTCTTGACATAATACCTCTCACTTCAGGAGCAAACCGAGCAAGTTTTGCTGGCCCGGGTGGCAAACGTAAAATCTGAAATGGAATCGCTGCAGGTAGCGTAAAATTTTTATCCAAGATGGCGTGTTTAGTTCTATCGCTGCAGGCTGAACTTGACAATATGCGAAGAGAAGTTTCAAAGGCCAGAAAGGTTTCTTTAGTTTCCTACGTGGTTATTATTTTTCATATGTATGCTCTTTTGTCCAGAAACATACCTCTGAAATCGAAGAGTACGAGACAAAGATCGCTCAAAGCAGAACTTTGCAGCATCGCATGGAGCTGGCCAAGTCCGACTTGGAAGAGAGAATTTTCGCACTCACCAGTGACAAGGCATGGACGAAGTATTTTCTCATGGTCACAAAATTTTATTTTTTCTCGTTCTCTTTCCAGGTCCAGCTACAGGAAAAAAGTAAGCTAGCAGAGGACAGAGAAAGGCTTTTGGAGAAGAAAATGGAGCTTGAAAAGCTCAAGTATGCAGAGCAGACTTCCGGAGAGATTTCTAGAGTAAGTCAGGGAAACATCTTGTGAAAGTTTGATGATCAAATCCACTTTTCAGCATATAGAAGAGAAACGACGCATCGACGGAGAGCTACAGAGCGCAAGGATCCAACTCCACAACATGCGGAATTCTCTTGAAGAGGTTTAAAGCTCTTGTTTCCAAAATGATCTAACATCGTTTCACGTTTTTTTCTGTTCAGCTGCAAGCCGAGCAGGAACGAAGGAAAGTAGAGGTGGAAAAACGCGTCCTGGGTGTAGAAACGCAATTTATCGATTGCATCCGTCAACAGTTTGCTGGCCTGAGAAACTCCCAGTCACATAGGTATGTGTTAAGCAGCAATGGTTTCAATTAGTTTCTATTGTCCCAGGATCGAAGCTTATAGTAACTTATGATCTTGGCAAACCTCCACGGCTCTGCCCAACGCTTGCAGCGATCATAACTCTCCTCGAGCATGGGATTGATGGCGTAGCACTCCTCGGTGGTCGTCCCAGCTTATGTACTCTTGTGGCTCTATATGGCACGCTAATGTAGGGACTGATGATTCCATTTTAGCTTAGAGGACATTTATAGAAATTCCATACAGTTCTAAGGTTTTCAACTTAGTATACCATTGGTATCAAACAATGTAAAATATTATATTTGAACCTTCAAGTTGATTTTAATGCTTGTTTTTTCCAGGTTTCCTAGATTAAAATCCATTTCTTCTCTAAACAATTCTTCTCCAGATAAATTTGCTTGTCTGTATGGTGTATGGGATGCTCTTCATAGCCTACTTAATCTGCTCAAATTTTGATGAAGCCAAGGTGCCTGCAAAACTTACATGGTAGCAGGGTTGACAATGTTGTGGTTCGATTTCTCATGATACTCTCTCCTGTCTTTCTTTTGTCTGCTGCTAAGAGCTAATTCAATCATACCTGCATACAGTGCTATTTGGAGTTGATCCACCTATCCGAGTCGATATCTCCCACCCCAGTTAATACTTCCTATTGTTGATCAATGTGTCATATGGAAAAGTGACAGCTTACCATCTTTCTGATAACTCCTCCGTTTCGAACCTCATGCATCCCGACAGACAAGTTGTGAGTGAAAGCCTTGACATACTTGTGTTAGGCAACGAACTTTACTCTGCATAGAGAAAACAAGTGTCGAGTTTAATCATGCTGCTAGCAAATAAAGGATTTAATCACTCAATTTCCTGTTCATGAAATTGAGTGATTAAATCCTAGTTGTAGTAAAGTTAGGTTCTGTTTTTTGCTCTAGAGTGAGCATTATCACACCTTTTGCAAAGTCATTACCAGAACTATGAGTTGGTAAAAGTTGAGAAGGATGAATTATGCAACTTCCATGGATGCAAATGTTGTGAATGCATAAAAGCAATTTCTTCTTCCTCATTTGCCTTCTGAGAACTCTAGGAGGGTTGAAATTGTTGTGTTTGAATGATGGTGCTAGCACACACTGCAATGGAAGAAAGAAGAGAAAAGTAGCTTATCCATGTTGAAAGCCTATATTGATCTCCAATGTATAGAGTTATATAACTTAACATTACACCCACAAACAAACTCACTTTCAAACCACCACTTTATCCATGTAACATCTTGCTCCTCATAAAATCACACCACTTTATTCTCACTTTTTCCATCATAAATATCATTCTTCTTAATACCATTTTGAAAATTAACTAATCTATAATGAATAATCATTACACTTCTGAAATATGTTTAGGACCAATATCGTTTCTTTCATAAGAATGAACTTTTGCCATTTCTTGTTACTCACTGTCTTAAATAGTAACAATCATTATTATTATTATATATATAACTCCAATAAGTAGCTAAATTTTCCATTCTATTTTAATTAATTAACTATATATTTTACTAAAGATGGAATGGTGCTAAATTGCAAATCTAGATGCAAAAACAATACCATCTTATCCAAAACAATTTACATTTCATAGATATGCCTTTTTAGTGAATCTAGACACTCTTCATAAATAATCAATAAAACCCAACATGATTAACATATAATGCATGATAATGAGTGTTTAATAGATACATATAGTGATATTTAAGGATCAATGCTCAATACGTGGGGATTATTAAGACAAAGCAAAAGAGAATTAATAAACCAAATTAAATATGGTTGGATAAATAAATACTTTGGAATTTCTTTCTTATACAAGTTTAATTTATTTAATTTTCCACTATACTTTAATCACTTAACTATAAATATGGAATGACACTAGATTGAGAATATAGATGTGGAACAATACTATCATGTTCAGAGCAATCTTTACATTTCATAAATATGTCTCTCTAACCACCCCAACTCATGATCACTTCATGCCAGAAGAAACCTCAAAAGTTTTTCCAAGCCCCATTTCACAAAATAAATTTCAACAAAGAATCCAACGTACCATGCCCCTGTTTCCTTGTCACCTTGATTCCTGCTACTCCAACAAGCCAGCCTTCTCGTTCTCCAAGCAGTGCACGAGCAACAATCTGATCTACAGCAATACCAATTAATGATACTACTGTCCTGTCGGTCAACCCCTCTTCATGCACGTAGTAAGCCGACATAGAACCCACACTAGGGTATGGATCCCAATGTCGTCTATTGTACTTTTGGCGGAGCTCTAATGCCTAGTCCCGAGGCTGTGGAAGCGCAGGAGCATGTGAGCGCGGTGTGGGTAAGACCAGGTTCTACGCTGGGTGAGATGGTAGAGAAAATCAAGCAGCAGTCACCTTTTCCGGAAGGCACCAGATTCTCGTATGTGGATGAGGGTTACTGGTGTCAAATCCATGGCGAGACGGTGGAGTTGATAGTGCAAGAGGGCGTCAAGTACTATGTGAGAGTTGTGGTGCCCAGTCGCCGGAGAAACACTGCTCCCGTTTCATCATCGGCAAAGAATGGGCAACTCCTGTCCTCGGATTGCCTGCACGACAGCTTCCATTGGGTGAAACATGAGCTGCAGCTGAGCCACATATCGGATGGTGCCTTTGAGCGATTCATGCACAAGTCTTGCACTAGAGACTTATGCAAGCAGATGATGTCAGCTCTGATCCAGATGCAGGCGGCGTCAAGCCATGCCGACAACCAGCTCGGGTCACCGCTATCGTTCCTGTGTCGCTTTGGCATTGCTTTGTCTTACGAGGGTGCACAGAAACGAGACGAGGGCGTTTGTCCCGGCGTGATCTTGAGGAAGGGCACGTTTGTCTCGGTTTTGACCAGGGATTTGCGGTCGACACCTCTTCCACTGGATGAGCAAGAGCATCGCTCTTTGAAGGTTGATGTATACATTTGTATCAGTGATTAGTTCTAACTGGCTCGATGAAGCAGGAGCTAGGCTTCTTGTTTTGGGTGGCCAAGGTTCTGAACATCAAGGCTGATGTCGACTTGCCACAGATGATATCGTTGTCCACAGACAAAGAACAAGCAGTGTACAACGTGTGGCTCGTTTCTCGAGTCGCTCAAAGTGCCTCGAATGCAGTGTTGAAGGTGGTCGACGACTATCGGGAGATGGTGATGAAAGTTGGACACAGTGACGAGACCAAGAATCAGATCAGGCAGCTCTGTGTTGACGCCGACTTCTGGCATCAAGTCGAAAACGAGGCACAGTTCCTTAAACAGCTAGATGGCTGCCCTCTGTTCCCGTCGCTCGTTTTCACCGGTTACTGGGAAGACAGGCCCGTGCTTCTTTCAAGTTTAGAAGGTAGACCGCTACTAACAATCCATAATTACCGTCCGCTACGAGGCTCGACAGTGGATCGGCTGTGCAAAGACCTCACGGAAGCTGTTCTCGTCCTACATGTAAGTACAAGAAGTTGTTTTGTGTCTTCTTTTTCATATTTACTTTCTTCGCAGAGCCGTGGTATTCTTCACTGTGACATAAGTACCAGGAATGTGGGGGTGTACAATGAGCCTCGGCAAGATGGCCGCTGCTTCTACCTCTACGATTTCGGGGCTGCGGTTCACGTCCGCCCCGATGTTCGAAAGGCAGGAGCAGCAAGGGACTTGGTGTTCAGCGCCTTGAACAGTATGGTAGGAGAGCCCCAAGGACTGATGACTGAGCTCACTTCAGTTGCTTACGTTTGCCTGTACATGGCAAGCACGGAAGCTCTGCCTTGGGAAGCAGCTGCAGCGCAAGGAGAGTACGCAACTTGCTGTCTGATGCGCATTCCCGACCGGGTCACCATTCCTGAATCCCTTGGCGAGTGCACGAGGGAGTGGCTGTCCTTCGTGATTAATCATCCGGATGATGCTGCTGTGCGCCATGACTTTGAGTGGGTCCGTGGAATCGCTGCAAACTTGCTCAATAATGTTGATTTAAACTAAAATATCTGTGTTGGGTAAATTTTGATTAAACAATATAATGAATCACTTTTCTATAAAAGCACAACAACCACTTTTCTACTCTAACTTTAGGCTTTCATGCTTGCAAGGGTTTTGTGTCTTCTTTTTCATATTTACTTTCTTGCTTGCTTTCATGCTTGCAAGGGTTTTGTGTCTGCTTTCAAAAGCGCAACGACCACTTTTCTACTCTAACTTTAGGCTTTCATGCTTGCAAGGGTTTAAAATCGTTTTACCATGCATGTGATTTAACGTGGATTGAGGAAGCCCAAGATGTCACAGGCTTGGGCAAAGTTTCTTTTCTTCTTTACACGCCATTCTAAACAATGTTTCAGATTGGAAAAGCTCTCTATGATTTTTCTAAACTTGCCAGATTAAGTTTACACAGAAGAAAAAAAAGAAGCATGTCGCAGAAGAGTTCAGTTGTCACACGGTTGATCCATCAAGTTGTCAGTCAGCTTGAGGTTGCAAGAAGTGGAATGCGGGATTCTCCCGCAACATGGGAGGGAAATCCATGTCGGACAAGTCCACCTCCCGCATCGATTGAGAAATATCGTCCACGGAGAAAGGAATACTAGCACCAAGGAAACAACCAAAGCTGAGGAGTTCTACTGGTATGCAGCCTCTTTCTTACCTTGAATCGTCGTCTAGAAGAAATGAATTGCTCCTCACTGAGTGATGGGAGTCTTCGGTCATTAGCGCTCGCATATTTGCAATCACCTGTGGAAACATTGTGAGTGGAAGCATCGTTCCTTTTTCTTTGTGTTACCTCTGGTGATACACTGTGTGTTCCATACTTATCGTCCCAATACATAGTACTAATACGATACAATTGTTGCACGCTCAGAACCTGTACGAGAAAAGAGAGCACGGTTGACAAAAGGGAAAGAACGCAAAAAACTTGGCTTGCTTACCGGGCAAAGGTCGTGCATAATTTCATCGAGTGATTTCTTTGGCTTTTGGTGGATCACCTGTGCAGAGAAAGGAACGAGTAAAAAAGGAAAGCAGGGGAAAAGCTTACCAGAAAACCAACTGCTTGTCGAATGTACTTGAGCTCGTCCCAGGAAGAACCTGCGAACTATTTTCTTCCCCCATTTCAGTTTAGAAGCGTCAGCTTTGGAATACATTTACCTCCTCAGAAGCGCCACAGATCCATTGTTCCAACTCGGCCAGGCCAGCTTTCACATACTCGCCATTGCTAAAAGAGCAGCACTCCCGTCGCAAAAGAAGACTGCGAAAATAACGAACGTTTTACTTGGAAAGCCGGTACAGTGAATTGTACACACCTGTTGAAAAGCTGAACATTGATGAAGGA